CAAGGAGGAACAGGTCCTTGGAGAGGGACATCATGCTTGGGAGGGTGGAGGGACAGCGCAGGAGGGGAAGGCCCTCTATGAGGTGGATTGATTCAGCGACTGGGGTAATCGGGATGGGTGGATCGGAGACAGTGCTATTGGCACAGGACAGAGCAAAGTTTAGGGCTGTTGTACATAGGGTTGCTATGAGTCTCAAGCGTCTCGACGGCACATAACAACAACAACATTGCCAAGCCTTCTCTCCTGTAGAGCTGCTGATTCGAACCACTGACTTTTAGTTAAACAGACAGGTACTTATCATGCTCCCTGGAGCTCCTTCAGTATTTTACTGCCTATAGGTAAACACTGGTAATAGGCTATTCTGCATCTTCTCAGATAGTCTGTGTTCATTTATGAATGTACATTTATGAGGGTAATACTTTGGATATGTTGCAAGGAGGGACCAGTCCTTGGAGAGGGACATCATGTTTGGGAGGGTGGAGGGACAGCGCAGGAGAGGAAGACCCTCAATGAGATGGATTGATTCAGCGAGTGGCGTAATGGGGGCAAGAGTGTCGGAGATGGTGAGATTGGCACAGGATAGGGCAGAGTTTAGGGCTGTTGTACTTAGGGTGGCTATGAATTGCAGATGACTCGACGGCACCTAACGACAACAGCAACAGCAACAACAACATGTGTAATTATGTCCATGTTTATATTTACATCTAACAAGCATAATGTAAAGCTTTTTCATAAGCAATCAATGGTGCAATTTTTGTGTAAACAGACATGTAGAAAAGCATAAAAAAATGGTCTCACAAGAGCATATGTTACCATCCAGTTTGAAATTTAAAATCTACCTCTTCCTTTGCATGCCACACTCCCCAAACACATCTCCCACTCTCAAGCACACAGATAACTACTGAAGTTAGCACTTATTATTGGTGTCACAAGAAATTCAGCCCTGCCCAAACCTGGCCATTGCCTTCAGCTTCTGAAACGTGATCCCTTAAACACTGGGAATGTCGTACTAATTAGGAGTGTCTTCGTTTCCCAGGGACCTTGGGCCATATCAGATAATAATGTGATTTAGGGTAGAGGCTGGACACCGCAGACAGTCTCCCTGGGATTCTCTTGTTATTTAGGCGGGAACTAGGAATACCTAGCCATTAACCAGGAAAAGGGCTGCTGGATTTCTGGATGTCATCTTGGTTGGAAAACTTGTTCGGATGATAGAGCAGGGTAGGAGCTATCAGCTCTCTGGGCTGCGATGCCTGCCACTTGCCACCTGTGTTGTGTTCTTTACAGATTTGTGGAAGCCATCAACCTCCTAGCTGCGTGACAAGGCAAACCAAGAAAGGCTTACATGTAGGAAGTGGTATTGAACCCAGCTTTGAAATGAACGTCGAATCTGAATATGGTCAGAGGAGCCGGTTGCAAGAGGAAGGACCGTGAAAAGGGGACAGACTTGAATCAAGCGAGAAGTATGTTTAGAGTAAAATTTGGGAAGGGCAGCCAATTCCCTCTTTGGCTTGGAAAGTCTTAATAAAGACACAGGGGTCCACAAGGCAGAGAAGAGCCAAAATTGTGAAGAATCAAATTTGCAAAGGAAATAAGTCTTAGTTTTTGGGTCTGGGATGTTTTTATTTTTGTTTGTTGTGTTTTGGGTATGGTTTTGATTTGTTTTGTTTTGCTTTGTGTTTTGGTTTGGTTTGGTTTGGTTTGGTTTTGCAGACTATAAGAATACATGTCCTTTTGTATTTCTCAGCTGTTGATTAAATCTGTCCCGCTTCCCTACTAACGTCTTCACAACCCATGCACCAACTCAAGGATGCCGTTCCTTCCAGGCCACCACACACCAGTCTCTTCTACGCTAAAGTCCCTTCCTCTCCAGGCCTCTCATGGCCCCCAGGGGAATCTTCCTAGCATCTAACCTGCCTCTGTCCTTCCATGGTGCACAAGATTCCCATTTGCTTGGAGAAAGAACCCGAGTGCCCTGGCACTTGAGGACCTCCCAAATGTGAGGAAGTTAGACGTAAAACCCTAGGAGGCAGAGAGAAAGGGAAAAACAACAACAACACAGATTCACGAAGGCTCATGGGGATTGCGTCCCTGTCCCCAGAAGGTCCTTGTCTCGTGTAATGCCTGTTTCTCAAGAGGAACAGGTTTAAAAGATGAATAAAGAAGTGTCACTTTCTGGTTTGCTAAGAATATTCTTTTCTGCTCTCCCCCACTCCCATTTCCCCTTGCAGTTACCCATAATCTCATCCTTTTTAAACATATGGTTCTGGAGTCAGACCAGCATAGTAAAAGCCTGGATCCCTCCTGTTTCCTGACGACTCCAGCTGCCCTGGATGGGGTCTCCACGGCTACAGTTGGGTGAGTGGGAGGAGAAAGAGGGGGATGAGGAGGCTGGGAAACCAAGGCTCCAGGGCCAAGGGGAAGGCAAACAGGAGATGGGCTGCGCCATAATGCTGTGAAGAACAAGAACATATTTAGGGCTGTGACTTTACGGGGCATCCAAGAGAACTGGGTCTGTGTCTCTGTTCCACCTCTTAGTTAGATGTATAATTTCTGGGGTCTTAAAATCTTGCAAATAGCCATCCAAGGCACAGTAATTGGTCTCTCTTTGCCTGAAACAATAGAAGGCTAAGGAGAGTGAGAAAAAGATACAGAATATTTGATTAACTACCTCTATAAAGAGATTGAGATTGTTCACAGCTTCAGTTTGCTCGGCTCCATGGTCAACACTCTTGGCACCAGTAGCCAGGAAATAAAAAAATGTATTGCGATGGGAAAGTCTGTGGTTAGGGACCTCTCCAAAATACTCAAGAGCAACAGTGTCTCTCTGGAGACTAAAGTCCGCCTGATACAGGCCATGGTTTTTGCAATCACTTGTTATGCATCAGACAGTTGGACAGTGACTAGGGAGGATAGAAGGAGAATTGATGCCTTTGAGCTGTGGTGCTGGAGAAGAGTATTGAATGTACCATGGACTGCGAAGAAAACAAACAGATTCATCGTAGAGAGGATTAAACCAGGCTGCTCCTTGGAGGCAAGGATTCTGGGGCTTTGTCTGACATACTTTGGACATGTTGTAAGGAGAGACAGGTCTTTAGAGAGGGACATCATGCTGGGTAGAGAGGAGCGACAGCGCAGGAGGGGAAGACCCTCTATGAGGTGGATTGACTCAGTGACTGGGGTACTCGGGATGGGGTGTCAGAGACAGTGTGATTGGCACAGGATAGAGCACGGTTTAGGGCTGTTGTACATAGGGTCGCTATGAGTCGCAAACGACTCGATGGCACATAACAACAACAACAACCTCTATAAAGAATTATTATCTTTGCCACGAACCCAGAAGAACTGGACAAGACCTGTCTAACATTGCTGAGCCTTTTAATCAAAGATTCTGTAGAAGAATCCTTGTCAGAGGGAACACATTCGGGACAGCATTTCAAAGTTCTCACGAAATCAAGCCTTCATGGAGCCACAAAGGTGGAATGAGCCTTTGAAACTATTGCCTGAAATAATTCTTTTTTTATTTGCTTGTTTGTTTTACTGTTATGAATTTTAATGAAAGTTTACGGAGACTTTGGATTTCCATTCATTCATTGTTGCGCTTTTCTCCCTGCCCACCCCTCCCCCTGGTTCACTCTTTCAAAAGTAAAAGAAAAATTCTTTGTTATACAACCTCTCCTCCCAAGTCCACTCCACTATGTAGAGACGGAGGGGAGGAATGATGTACACTGCATTGAAACAGATGAGGGAGAGAACTGTTTAAAAGGGATATATGATTGAATATTATCGTCATGACAAGGGTCCAAAATGAAGGCTGCACAGTGAAGTGGATTTGGGGGGAGGGATTGCATAACAATGAAAGAGTTTTTCTTTTACTTTTCAAGGAGAGGAGTGAATTGGGGGGGCAGGGAGAAAAGTGCAACAATGACTGAATGGAAACCCTAAGTCTTTGTAAACTTTCATTAAAATTAATTTTAAAAAAAGACTATGGACTGCATCAGGTGTACCTTAGTCCTCAAACTGACATCATTGCTCCTCAATAATCTGGAGAGGTCCCTGACTACATACTTTCCCAGTGCAACACGTCTCCTGATCTCCTGATTGCTGGTACCAAGGTAGATGAAGTTGTTTACAGTTTCCATCTTTTCTCCATGTATCATGGCATTGCCTATTGGTCCAGTGGATGTATATAAAGCTCTCAAAAAACTAAAAAAAATTAAAAAGCACATCCTGGAAGCCTCAAGGTGCCTCGGGTTTTCCGCGTCTGTCTGTCATCTTCTGCTCTTCGTGGGAACATTACAATTCCCTGCAAATCCTACATCCTCACCAATAAGGTCCAGTGGAATGGTCCAAAATCAGGAGACCATAGAAATGTAAAAAAAAAAAAATCTATCTGGATGGTCCTGTAGTCAGGCGCAGGCCAGATGAGGAGAGAGAATGAAGGGGAAGGGGTCTGTGAGACCAGGTGTCACAGGCTTCCAGGAGGCCCTTCTGATGCGATTGGTGAATCATGAGTGAGCAGAAGGCTGAGTCCTGGAGAAGGGGAGGGGAGGACAGGGGGTCTTGCTGACTCTGACCCTCCCTCTCCCAGCCCCCACCGGGTCGCTCCGTTCCTCCTGATCCTTGGAGAAGACACAGCAGTGCACGTGTTCCTTCCATGGGACGCCCACATCCTCCACACACTGATGAATGGGACCTGGACCTATGAGGAGAAACAGCGCGAGCGCCCACCTCCAGGTGACTTCCTTGGTCCCTGGGCCAGCAGTACCATCAGCCTGCCCCAGGATCCAAAACCAGCAACTAACCTACTATGTAAGGCAAAGAAAAAAAAATGGGATCTATTCTTGGAGCATTCTGTTGATGTCAAATGAGTAGAGAAGGATGTGCGAACCAGGGGAGAAAGGTGAGAGGCTGGAGATGAGCACTGGGACAGGACGGGGAAGCAGAGTTCTGACACAAACCAAGTTCATCACAAACCAAGACCACGTGGGCCATAAAGCAAACCCATCAACGACACAACACTGTCATCACAAACCAAGACCACGTGGGCCGTAAAGCAAACCCATCAACAACGCAACACTGTCATCACAAACCAAGATCACCTGGGCCGTAAAGCAAACCCGTCAATCCACCCAGGTCTGTCATCACAAACCAAGACCATGTGAGCCGTAAAGCAAACCAGTCAACCAACTCAACACTGTCATCACAAACCAAGACCACCTGGGCCGTAAAGCAAACCCTTCAACCAACCCAGCTCTGTCGTCTCAAACCAAGACCACCTGGGCCGTAAAGCAAACCCTT